TTGTTTAGAATCAAGTCTCAATGAATGCATGTGTGGTTGCTTATGATCTCAATAACTGGATTGTCTGGTGCAAACTCAGTTATTTACAGATATCATGTAGCTAGAATATTGTGTAGCAACAAACAACAAACAAGCAAAAACAATTTATGCCAGCTTTGGATTAGGGAATGTGTGTGATAAATGTAGCCAAGGAAATTAAAACATGCAATATTGCCCCACTGCTTTTAGATTTTGCCCATAAGTATGAAGTATAAGAACCCAAAAGAAAATAATAAACTCCATTAAAATATAGATTATAAACTTGTTCCACTTCAAACACATTTGGTTGAGGGAATATAAGTAATACTATTAAACAAATCTCTTAAAATTAGTACTGTACATCAGCCCAGTGTGCTCTTAAATATGAAGTGTGATTTGCTATGAGCAGCAAAATGAAATCAGAAGATTCCATTGATTGTAATTTTATGGTGTTATCCCTCTTCTGGTTGAATCTGTATGTATTATACTAATATTGTACAGATTCTCTGAAAATAAGAGATATTGTCCTGTTCAAGATTCAGCCCACAATTTTTAAGTGTCAGATTATTCTGTTAGTATTAGACTTAGGAGACATTATCCCTCTCCTGGTCAAAGGCATACAGGATTAAATCAAGTTAACTCTCTTAAAGTTGTACTAATTATTGGCCTATTTGCTTTCATAGTCTGCTTTTTACATGTCTGAAATATGATCTACTATCATCAGATTTTAAAGTTGTTTTCCTTTATCTAATCAAGGGCATATGAATAGTATAATAGTCTAAACATTGTCAATATTGACCTGTTGCATGTAGACACCGTTTCACAAGTTTCACATATGACTAAATACTATCAAAAGCCATGAGGAATCTTTAGATTCGATAACTGTAATTTTTTAGTCAACTTTACTCAAACAGATATTGTCACAACAAGGAATAAGAACACCATAATAACTTTACCAGATAGATATAACATGAACCTAACAGTTTACACACTCACACCCATTCAGCTTGAGTCAAATAACTATCACCCTTCAAGGGCATCACGCACAGCACACAGTTTAGACACAAATCACACATTGCACAATCACTGTTTCCCTGAAAATACTAAAGGTTACTACATGCAAATAGTGTGCTAACAATCAACCCTTCTCATACAATACATCCAACTGTAGATTTTTAAGGCATATTCCCACTCTTGGTTAAGGACATGTGAGTATCATTATTACTATTTCATTATTAATGCTATAGTATTATTTCATTCAGAATTTGCTGACAAGTTGGAATTGTTATTTACCACTATAAGCTGAGAGGAAATCTGTAAGTTTTAAAGGCTTTATCCCTCTTTGGGCAAAGGGCATGTCATTCATGATAACAGTTAAAGTCTCTGAAAATAAGAACTATTGACCCAGTACATTCATAATTTGCTCACAGGTTTGAAATGTTATTCAATATCATCAGCCAAGATACCATTTTGAAATTGTATAAACTGTAGGTTTTAAGACATTATCCTACTTCTGCTCAAAGGCACTTGATTAATAATAATAGTTAAAAATCTCTGAAAATTTGAACTATTGACCCAGTATAATCACAATTTGCTTGTAAGTTTAAAATGCTATTTACTATCATGCTCCCAGATAAATTCTTGAAATTCCTTAAACTGTAGGTTTTAAAGGCATTATCCCACTTCTGGTCAAATCCATGTGATAAATAATAATAGTAAAAAATCTCTGAAAATTTGAAGTATTGACCCAGTACATCCATAATTTGCTCACAGGTTTAAAATACTATTCAATATCATCAGTCCAAAGGAAAGCTTCAAATTCCATAAACTGTAGGTTTTAAAGGCATTATCCCATTTCTGGTCAAAGGCACGTGATTAATAATCATAGTTAAAATTCTCTGAAAATTTGAATTATTGACTCAGTACATTAATAATTTACTTGTAGGTTTGGAATGCTATTTACTATCATCAGCCAAGATAACTTCTTGAAATTCCATAAACTGTAGGTTTTAAAGGCATTATCCCATTTCTGGTCAAATGCATGTGATTAATAATAATAGTTAAAAATCACTGATAATTTCAATTATTGACCCAGTACATTAATAATTTACTTGTAGGTTTGGAATGCTACTTACTATCATCAGCCATGAAAACTTCTTGAAATTCCATAAACTGTAGGTTTTAAAGGCATTATCCCACTTTTGGTCAAAGGCACGTGATTAATAATAATAGTTAAAAATCTCTGTAAAATAGAATTATAGACCCAGTACATTCATAATTTCCTCAGAGGTTTGAAATGCTAATCTATATCATCATGCCAGGCAGCTTCTGGAAATTCCATAAACTGTAGGTTTTAAAGGCATTATCCCACTTCTGGTCAAATGCACGTGATAACTAATAATAGTTAAAAATCTCTGAAAATTTGAATTTTTGATCCAGTTCATTCATAACTTACTTGTAGGTTTGAAATGCTATTTACTATCATGAGCCAAGATAACTTCTTGAAATTCCATAAACTGTAGGTTTTAAAGGCATTATCCCATTTCTGGTCAAATGCATGTGATTAATAATAATAGTTAAAAATCACTGATAATTTCAATTATTGACCCAGTACATGAATAATTTACTTGTAGGTTTGGAATGCTATTTACTATCATCAGCCATGAAAACTTCTTGAAATTCCATAAACTGTAGGTATTAAAGGCATTATCCCACTTCTGGTCAAAGGCACGTGATTAATAATAATAGTTAAAAATCTCTGTAAAATAGAATTATAAACTCAGTATATTCATAATTTGCTCAGAGGTTTGAAATACCATTCAATATCATCAGCCCAGACAGCTTCTGGAAATTCCATAAACTGTAGGTTTAAAAGACATTATCCCACTTCTGGTCAAATGCATGTGATTCATAATAATAGTTAAAAATCTCTGAAAATTTGAATTATTGACCCAGGACATTAATAGTTTACTTGTATGTTTGAAATGCTATTTACTATCATCAGCCCAGACAGCTTCTGGAAATTCCATAAACTGTAGGTTTTAAAGGCATTATCCCACTTCTGGTCAAAGGCACGTGATTAATAATAATAGTTAAAAATCTCTGTAAAATAGAATTATAGACCCAGTCTATTCATAATTTGCTCAGAGGTTTGAAATGCTAATCTATATCATCAACCCAGACAGCTTCTGGAAATTCCATAAACTGTAGGTTTTAAAGGCATTATCCCACTTCTGGTCAAAGGCACGTGATTAATAATAATAGTTAAAAATCTCTGAACATTTGTATTATAGACCCAGTACATTGATAGTTTACTTGTAGGTTTGAAATGCTGTTTCCTATCATCAGCCAAGAAAACATCTTGAAATTCCATAAACTGTAGGTTTTATAGGCATTATCCCATTTCTGGTCAAAGGCACGAGATTAATAATATTAGTTACAAATCTCTGTAAAATAGAATTATAAACCCAGTTTATTCATAATTTGCTCAGAGGTTTGAAATACTATTCAATATCATCAGCCCACATAGCTTCTTGAAATTCCATAAACTGTAGGTTTTAAAGACATTATCCCACTTCCGGTCAAAGCATATGATAACTAATAATAGTTAAAAATCTCTGAAAATTTGAATAATTGACCCAGTACATTAATAGTTTACTTGTATGTTTGAAATGCTATTTACTATCATCAGCCAAGATAACTTCTTGAAATTCCATAAACTGTAGGTTTTAAAGGCACTATCCCATTTCTGGTCAAATGCACGTGATTAATAATAATAGTTATAAAACTCTGTAAAATAGAATTATACACCCAGTACATTCATAATTTGCTCAGAGGTTTGAAATACTATTCAATATCATCAGCCCAGACAGCTTTTGGAAATTCCATAAACTGTAGGTTTTAAAGGCATTATCCCACTTCTGGTCAAAGGCACGTGATTAATAATAATAGTTAAAAATCTCTGAACATTTGTATTATAGACCCAGTACATTGATAGTTTACTTGTAAGTTTGAAATGCTGTTTCCTATCATCAGCCAAGAAAACATCTTGAAATTCCATAAACTGTAGGTTTTAAAGGCATTATCCCACTTCTGGTCAAATGCACGTGATTAATAATAATAGTTAAAAATCACTGATAATTTCAATTATTGACCCAGTACATTAATAATTTACTTGTATGTTTGAAATGCTATTTCCTATCATCAGCCAAGAAAACTTCTTGAAATTCCATAAACTGTAGGTTTTAAAGGCATTATCCCACTTCTGGTCAAATGCACGTGATTAATAATAATAGTTAAAAATCACTGATAATTTCAATTATTGACCCAGTACATTAATAATTTACTTGTATGTTTGAAATGCTATTTCCTATCATCAGCCAAGAAAACTTCTTGAAATTCCATAAACTGTAGGTTTTAAAGGCATTATCCCATTTCTGGTCAAATGCATGTGATTAATAATAATAGTTAAAAATTAAGAATTTCAGCTTAGTGTATTTCCATTTCTTACACGTAAATCTGCACATGGTAACTTTGAAATATAATGAAGATATGGCATCTGCAAAGCTTTAAAAGACATATTTCATTCCTCCATTTACACTTTTCCAGTTACAGAGTTAGATATTAACATAAGCCTTCTTGCCCTTCTGCCCCTCTGTATCAAAACTCAATACAGTGACAAACACTTGGGATGGACTCCATTTCTGAACTTTCATTGTTGAGATGCTTGTAATTCAAGTTCTTGAATTTTTCAATCAGAAAATGACATGGTTCTTTCACTGCTTCGTACAAAGTGTGGTGTGGTGTTGTACTGTGAAGAAAACAGAAAGACATAATCAATGTACCATGTTTGCATTAACTAACTACATCCAAAACATTCAAGAAAATGGCCACCAACATGCGTAAAAAACATGGAAAGTACTTTGAATAACTTGGAATGGCAGTTGCCAACTGAGTGGATTGAACAAGAGCGGAGTGGAGAGGAGTGGGTGGTGCAAGTGAAATGAGAGATTGCGTGGATGGGTTGGGGAGTGAGTGAGTGAGCGAGAGAAGTTGAGTGGAGTTGACTTGAGAGGAGTGGGTGGTGTGAGGGAAGAGGGTGTAGTGAGAGTAGTGGAGTGGGTGGAGTGACTGGAGCGGAGTGAGTCGAGTGAGGGAAGAGGGTGTAGTGAGAGTAGCATAGTGGTTGGAGTGGGTGGAGCGGAGTGAGTCGAGCGAGGGAAGAGGGTGAGTGAGAGTAGTGGAGTGGGTGGAGCGGAGAGAGTCGAGCGAGGAAGAGGTGTAGTGAGAGTAGTGTAGTGGGTGGAGTGACTGGAGCGGAGTGAGTCGAGCGAGGGAAGAGGTGTAGTGAGAGTAGTGTAGTGGGTGGAGCGGAGTGAGTCGAGCGAGGGAAGAGGGTGTGGTGAGAGTAGTGCAGTGGGTTGAGTCACTGGAGTGGAGTGAGTCAAGCGAGGGAAGAGGGTGTAATGAGAGTAGCATAGTGGGGGAGTGACTGGAGTGGAGTGAGTCAAGCGAGGGAAGAGGGTGTAGTGAGAGTAGTGTAGTGGGTTGAGTGACTGGAGCGGAGTGAGTCAAGCGAGGGAAGAGGGTGTAGTGAGAGTAGTGTAGTGGGTGGAGTGGGTGGAGCGGAGTGAGTCAAGCAAGGGAAGAGGTGTAGTGAGAGTAGCTATGGTTGGAATGGGTGGAGCGGAGTGAGTCGAGCGAGGGAAGAGGTGTAGTGGGAGTAGTGTAGTGGGTGGAGTGACTGGAGCGGAGTGAGTCAAGCAAGGGAAGAGGTGTAGTGAGAGTAGCATAGAGGTTGGAATGGGTGGAGCGGAGTGAGTCGAGCGAGGGAAGAGGGTGAGTGAGAGTAGTGGAGTGGTTGGAGTGGGTGGAGCGAAGTGAGTCGAGCGAGGGAAGAGGTGTAGTGAGAGTAGTGTAGTGGGTGGAGTGGGTGGAGCAGAGTGAGTCAAGCAAGGGAAGAGGTGTAGTGAGAGTAGCATAGAGGTTGGAATGGGTGGAGCGGAGTGAGTCGAGCGAGGGAAGAGGTGTAGTGAGAGTAGTGTAGTGGGTGGAGTGACTGGAGCGGAGTGAGTCAAGCAAGGGAAGAGGTGTAGTGAGAGTAGCATAGAGGTTGGAATGGGTGGAGCGGAGTGAGTCGAGTGAGGGAAGAGAGGAGAGTGAGAGTAGTGGAGTGGTTGGAGTGGGTGGAAGCAGAAGTGAGTCGAGAGGCGAGGGAAGAGGTGTAGTGAGAGTAGTGTAGTGGGTGGAGTGGGTGGGAGGCGGAGTGGAGTCAAGCAAGGAAGAGGTGTAGTGAGAGTAGCATAGAGGTTGGAATGGGTGGAGGTGGAGGTGAGTCGAAGCGAGGGAAAAGAGGGTGTAGTGAGAGTAGTGTAGTGGGTGTAGTGGGTGGAAGCGGGTGAGTCCGGCGAGGGAAAGAGGTGTAGTGAAGTAGCATAGTGGTTGGAGTGGGTGAAGCGAAGTGAGTCGGCGAGGGAAGAGGTGTAGTGAGAGTAGCATAGTGGTTGGAGTGGGTGGAGCGAAGTGAGTCGAGCGAGGGAAGAGGTGTAGTGAGAGTAGCATAGTGGTTGGAGTGGGTGGAGCGGAGTGAGTCGAGCGAGGGAAGAGGGTAAGTGAGAGTAGTGAAGTGGGTGGAGCGGAGAGAGTCGAGCGAGGAAAGAGGTGTAGTGAGGAGTAGTGTAGTGGGTGGAGTGGGTGGAAGCGGAGTGAGTCAAAGCGAGGGAAGAGGTGTAGTGAGAGTAGCATAGTGGTTGGAGTGGGTGGAGGCGGAGGGTGAGTGAAGCGAGGGAAGAGGGTGTAGTGAGAGTAGTGTAGTGGGTGGAGCGGAGTGAGTCGAGCGAGGGAAGAGGGTGAATGAGAGTAGCATAGTGGGGGAGTGACTGAAACGGAGTGAGTCGAGCAAGGGATGACGGTGTAGTGAGGGTAGCATAGTGGTTGGAGTGGGTGGAGCGAAGTGAGTCGAGCGAGGGAAGAGGTGTAGTGAGAGTAGTGTCCCAGCAGGCACATCAACGTTGTTTCAACGTTGAGAATAGGTTGATCCTCAACGTTGAAAATAGATTGAAAATAGGTTGTATATGAAAGTTTTTTTGACGTAGATATCCGACGTGGAATCAACGTTGAAGTTTGACCGATTATCAACGTTGAAAAAAGGTTGATCCTCAACGTTGAAAATAGATTGAAAATAGGTTGTATATGAAAGTTTTTTTGACGTAGATATCCGACGTGGAATCAACGTTGAAGTTTGACCGATTATCAACGTTGAGAATAGGTTGATCCTCAACGTTGAAAATAGATTGAAAATAGGTTGTATATGAAAGTTTTTGGCGTAGATATCCGACGTGGAATCAATGTTGAAGTCTGACATATTAGCGTTGAAAATGGGTTGTTCCGTGGTTGTGTCTGGGAGGTATTACGGCTTTCCTGTAAATAGACTCGCATTTCATCTTTAAACTACAATAAAGTAGCACCAAACTCCTGCATCCAGCTAAAACACCCAAAAGCTACCTGCAATAAACAGTGTTCAAACAGAAAATTGCAGTAAAATATTTACCTGATAAAATGCTTGGTTACAATTCCACATTCAATATAATGTTCATTTAAGTTTTATGTCAGTTGGACGTATAATTCCAGTAAGAAGAAAGAGTATTCCAAATTAAGAAAAACTATTTACTGTTGTATTGTTACCTTGAAAAGGTGAAAATTGTCGAGAAGACATTTTGTCTGAATTTCAGCTCTTAGACAGACCCCTGAATAAACACAATGCAATTACTTTCACCATGAAAGGGATCCAAGATGACCAGGAACTATACCTGGAGACAGCACATAAAACAAGTCACTTTAATGAAATCTTTATGAACACACGCACACAGAAAACGTGGTTTAATGCATAATGTAAAACATCACACATGACATAGTCTGTAGGTGATCTCTGTTGTGCTAATAACACAATATCATCTGCATATAGCATCAAAGTGACATTTTCGCCACCAATTTCAATACCACAGTTCAGATTTTTCAACACAATTACAACTCCAAAACACAATTATCAGCTCCTCTTCTTTCTGCCACTCCCTGCCTGGCGGTCAGGTGGATACTTCAGAAACATTCCTAATTCTTTCTTGAAATTTGCTTCGGATGCATTCCCATCTCATTCCCTTGAGATAGGACACATTCTGAAATTTTATATTTAAATACATGAATAAGTTATATGGAAGATATATTGTCTTAAATGATTCAAGTATTTGTTTAATCAATCACTTGAAAGGTTCATTTCACTGCTGTAACTTGGCATGTGAACATATGAACAGCATCAATACAAAATATGACGAAAAGTGTAAACAATTTATATTTTCAACCGAAGGAATGGAAGTTTTCTTAAACATTTTCAAAGAAAATCCTCATTTGCAAGTTGATTATTTAATTAGACTATGAATTACCGGTAGGATGAATTAGACGATGCTTTACTGTCATATATTATTTGCTATGGTCATGATGAAAATGCTGCACTTGGAAATTAACTTACCAGAGATGATTGAATACAACCTTGTATTCTTAAAAGAAAACTTGCCGTTTTGCCCATCAACATTCATTCTTGACATCAAATTGTTTGACATTGTCCTGCAAAACAATGGAAGATTGTTGTCATTCTGTCAGATTTAGTTTTCTTTAGAGATTCTCGGAAATGATTATTTCAAATTAATAGGAGTTGAACTGATGTAGCAATGTTGCTACCAGGAGTCATAAATTGTTACAAAAGCCATTTTACATTAAATGATAAGAAAACAAAATGGGTGGTGGTTCACAGGTCAAAGAACAAGTCTATTGTGGGAGGTCTCCCAACACCATTTGTTCCCAAACACAAGGAAGTATGGATCATGGAGTTCTGAAAACAATAATGAGCTCTCATAAGTATAGAATATATTCTCAAGTATCTACTCTCTCTCTCTCTCTTTGTCATTTGTACACTCATAAAACTCAGATAAATAACTTTTTTATAATTCATAAATGTTTACACTTAATCTCTTATAGGAACGCTTAGAAAATCTCTCATATAATAGGCACCGCAGGCTGATTTTTCTTAATGCTTTTAAAATTATTTTTTTTATGCATTCTAGTCCCAATTACTGTTCTGACGGCAGAAGTGAAGACTATATGTCAAAGAATATCATAATAATGCTGTAGGTGCCCTTCATATATGTCCCAAAAATCGAGCTAAACTGAGATTTGCCAAGTCATTTACGTCCACTCATGTGGAACAAAAATTAATCAAAGTACGTAGGCAATGACTTTATAGGGTTTATCTATAAGTATCATTTATAAATTCCTGAAATTTTGAAATCATTACATCAATAATTACTATGACTTCAAGCAACTCTTCACAGTAAGGGTAGCTCCCAAGAAACACAACAACACACAAAACTCGTAAATAAATATAATTTACTGTCATACATCAAGACAAGAAAACCCTTACACGGCAAAGAAGACTATGTGACTTTTATCCATAGTCATCATAACAATAATAAAGGGGTAAATCATGTTTATTAGTAACACTAATAAGCCTAGAATAGAAACGTATCCTCTCTTAGTGTTTTCAGTTTCTCAGCTACTCTCAGACAGGAGTCTGTGAAGCACTAAACAAAACTACAAACTATACATTTTTCATCACATTTATCTCTGTACATCAATGGGGTTTTACAGAAGCAAAATATACAACTTAATATCAGCATCAATTATCACTTCCATAGTTCTTAGGAGCTGAAGTTTCAGTGAGTAGCAGACTCCAAAAACATCAACAAAGCTCTACAATTATACATTTTCTATACAATATCAGTTTTCAGCCTTTCACCAGTGAATCTGTCTTCTGTTTCAGATTGCCATTAATGGAAATAGCAGCATACCTGAAATATATAGAGGAAGAACAGCCATAAAACAATGAACTCAATGTCTTCATTACTATTTTAGACATAATTCATAACCTCAGAAATTTGTTTTTGCCACAGCAGGTCATGTATATCATGGTATGTCAAAGAAATGAGGGTGGAAAGACAGCTTGGACTCCAGAACAGAAGTCCATGCCCATTTAATACTTTTTTTTCATATATTTTTAAGACATACATTCAAAGTATTCCTGTTGGTGTCCAGTCAGCAGTACATAGCGAGACGTGAATATCTGGATCATCTGGAAGAAGAAAATTATTATGCTGGACTCATCAACGTCTTTACTTTTTCATTACAATAGGAGCCTACAAGGCTTATCCAGTTCAAAATAAAAGTCAAATATAAATTAAGAACATAACACCAACAATAATGACACTGATAGTTGAATTTCGACATAATTTTTAGAGTGAGTAAACTTTCTCTTAAGCAAAGGTAGGTCAGTTTATATGACAGTGTAGGCCAATTGAGGAAGAAGCCTGCATGGATGTCAGAACTAAAATTACCATGAATATTCCATAGTTGTTTCCATGGTTGGTCTCCGGATCACATTTTTTGGATCATCTGAAGGACAAAAAAATGGAACAAGAGGACAAAGTCATCAATATTCATCGCAATGGCAAAATACTCTTCATGAATATGTCTACTAGTTATGATTATAGTACACGTATGTCAAATGTCTTGTAGTGTATATGGCAGAGTGGAAGGAGAGTAGTGTAAGGTTTTACAGTTCTGCTCCAGAAATGAGCACTACCACCAAATTCAGTCAAAGTCAAACTTATTGTCACGGAAACCACAAAAAAAATCACACACTGGTGTAACCCCCAAAAGGCACATCTATGGATCATTGTGAACATGTGTACCAATTTTGATAAAGCTAAAGTTTGGGAGATCTGCTCCAGACAAGATGACTTCCTCATAGTCACAGCCTAAGTCATGTTTCCATGGAAACAGCTAAAAATAAAATTCATATCTGGGTCTAACCCATAAAAGGCACATCTAGTGATCATGGTAGACATGTGTACCAAGTTTGGTTAAGCTATCACGAATAGTTTAGAAGATATGCTTTGGACAAAGTGTGATGGACAGACAGATGGGATCTGAACTTCGTTTTACATCCCCCGCAACTTCATTGTTATGGGGATAAAACTAATATAGATGGACAATAGAAAAGTCTTTGCAGCTTTATAAGGAACTTTTTAATGAAGCATTAGTTAGGTCCATATTGTGATAAAGCCGGATAAATGATTATATTAAAATCCTATTATTTCAAGAGGAACATAATGTCCTAAAACATTATTAAAGTAATACCTGGGTAGACTGCCTTCATTATTCATCAATTCGGCATCATGAATGGGCGAGGTTTCAACCGTTGAAATAGTAGAAAACCATTAGTTACAAATAACATACCATACTTTGTTATAAAAATGACTGCCTAAAGTTTACAGAACATTGTACTCGATTAACCAACTATGGAATGAAATTATATTGTGAATCTGTTATTTATTAATACATCATTCATATGGATGACAGTTACAATTCAAAAGTATGTGCAGTGTAGAACTGAAATGGAACACGAACATTTATGATATTGGAAGCAAGAAGTATCTGACACAAACTTACCAAAATACAACAAATAAAAACCTGTTAATCTATTCCACAAACTGAATTGTTAGTGACAAACTGGTTAGTAAGCAACCCTATTTACATCCATGCAAAATTTTGCACGAAATGTTTGCCAATATGTCTCAAGTACAGAATTTTAGTACATATTTAACAGAACATTTTGTCATTTTTTTAAAGTAAATGGTCACCTCAAATCACACAGAGAAATAGTGGCATTAAAGAGAGTCTATGCTGCCCGGTCCATTTTCAGTATAGGTCTAGCTGTAGTGCATCTGTAAATATTCAACATTGTCATTTTAGTGTACCATCTTATATCTATGTTCCTAAATGTGATAATGAGGTGACTTTGGAAATTGCATATGAATGATGTTTGGCATTTCGTCTGTACTTGGTCTTTGGATATGAAAGGAGGTTTAACAATCCTGCTATTTGATGCTGAAAACCATGTGATTTGAGATTGAAGTTGGCTGGCAGATAAATATGGATGTCAATCTACAATGAGAAAAAGATATCTCTTTCAGTACTGCTCATTTGAGCATTTCGTAATAACAAGAAATAACAATAACTTTTGCACCCACAAGAACCTTTAACCTATTCAAAAAGGTGTCCTGTGCATTACGTTTACATGTACATATTACTGATATATTGAATACTAAATAATTGATGATCTATGTCTTCAAAGTTAACTGCAACTTATATATATTTACCCAATTCCATTTAGTTCGTGTGTTGGGCAGAACATTGGCAGTCACAGTGAAACTTTGCTTACAGGATCAGGCAGGATGTCTGAAACATTTTCAAACTTAAATTGAAATACAATATTCTAATATACTTATACTTATACTATATTTCCATACAGATGGTAAGTTCCTGACAGGTTAAACTACTTGCCAATCAACTTCTGTTCTCATTTAAAGCCGTTTTAAGAAGCAGAAACGTGTTTTCATTTAAGAAGCAGAAAAGTGGCAAAAATTATGATAATTAGTGTTAATAACTAGCAAAAACTTTTAAACTCACTTAATATACAATTTCTGCCTTTTCTTCAAATTTGGATGCTCAAATATGTTGCTTAAAGTATCAGAAAATAGATAACTGATGACATAAATGAGAATATAAGGTTTTATAATGATGATTTTGATTAAAAATACATTTTGTACCCTCTGTGGAACCGCTCATTGGAAGTGCCTGGGAATATGTGACGGCAGATACAAGGGCAGGTAACTCTAATCAGCTGACCGACTGAAAACTTTAAGCCTTTTTTTCGTCGCTTTGATGATTGAAAAAAAATACATAAAAATATATTTTCATTTCTTTTAGATCTATACTAAGCGTATTTCGCCGTATTTTGTTGACGTTGTTGATTTTAAGGTATTTGGAAGATATCTGAAATTTCACTTACCTCATATTAAATCGTTTTCTCGTCCAGAATATACAGTTGTGCGAAATACGCCATTTCGAAGGTTTGTACTTCTCATATTTAAAAAAAACCGCGCGGAAATCGTCACGGAAATAGGTGTAATTAAGCCTTAAACGCGACGGGGTCGGTGAACCAAGTTCTGGCCCTTTTCTAAAAATAGCTACACCAGCGCCCCTACCGGGAACTGCGGTCGCTACATATAATGAATTATGTGTGCGTATTATCTGCGACGTCATAACTATGCTTCTCTGAATCATGAACAATAAAATAATGAGATTAAACTCTACATTGCCAGAAATAATCTATCATACCATGAATAATAAGACATTGAATAACATCTCTTACAACTCCAATCTACACTCAAAAAGACTTAAATGTACTCGTAAACAAACATCGCTGGCTAACGCAAATTCTTGGAAACAGTGCATCTCTGACTCTCAATTCCAAGAAATGGAAGTCCTACTGTATTTGACCAAAGGGGTGACAGGTGGCCAAAACATATTGAAATGTAGGTCATTCACTGAAAATAACTCTGATTTAAAACACTACAAATATACACCTTCTCTCTAATATATTCGATAGATGATCTTAACAGGGGAATATGTACATAAAATGCTGATATCTAACAACACCTGTACTATAAATAATGGACTCTTCCAAATCTCAGTATGTTTCACTGCACATGAAAAACCTACCCTTAGACAATAATAAAAAACATCATATTCAAATTCTACAGCTGACCAAATACCTGAATAGTGTGTTTCCCAGCAATAAACATCTCTCTATATATCTATAAATGTATGACTTCTGTCCTCTCGCGTGCTATCTTGCATCCAGCTGTTTACGGCGAAAAACAATATGGCGCCAAGCAAGGGAGTGCTCATTAAACTAAACATCTCCGGGAGAAATCATTGTCAATTTTTCTCTTAAATGATCAACCTTAATATATAAATGAAAATAAAGACCAACTATTATCACCAAAAAAGACCAAACATTATCACAAATATTCAAAACAGGTGGTAATGAAAGAGCATTATCATCTTTCTCTTAAACTTTGTGGTGGATATACTGGAAACAAGTGAAATGTTAAAAACGTGTTACCTTAGCCTTGCTCCTTTTATGTGATCCACAAAATTGCTGCCACCCAGTGTTCGAAGATGAGATTTCTGCAAATTCCATTAAAATAATCTTATTTCATAATTAAATGTTCCTTACATTAAAATTACTTCTTTTGTATGTAAGATTGTAACCTTTAAGAGACATGAATTATCATATCCCATCCAAACAAGTGTAAGAATGAAAGTCTGTGGGTGCAGTTTTGTTAACTGTCCCATCAAAGAATCATTAGTGAAGTTACACTTTATGTAAATAAATAAAAGTTCAAATAAATAATATACAATTTC